CGAGAAGGTTCGCTTGTTGAAGATTCTTCAACAGCAGATGAGTTTCCCTCTGACAGCTTTGTCTCATTGGAAGATGTTTTCAAATTAAAATCAGAATTTTCAGTTTTATTTGCTGCTGCTACTGTTGCGTTTTCTGTTTGGGCTACAGTTGCCAACACGGCCACCACCACAACAAATATCATCAATTTGAAAAACATTAGCATATTTGTTTGTTTGTTTGCTGACAACTTGCATTTAGATTGATAGCAAATAATTCTTTTATACAAAATTAGCGTGACACTTTTTGAGAGCAGTATGCAAATCAAATTGGCTGATTGACTGGTTCACTACACTGAAAACCAACAACAGCCAAATTGGATTACAATTTCCTGCTGAAGGCTGTTTAAATCACAGCTCAACAAGACCAAGGTTTAATTTATCAGCTGGTAAAACTCTCTACAAACAAAACATCCAGATTAAACATTTCAAAAAATGTATAATGTTTTCATTGTGCGAATAGTAGTAGCTTTAGCCGTAATCCTCACCAATGTAATCATCAGTGTCCAGATCGCTGAAAAACTTGCGACGCCGTTTGAAGGGGCGGAAAAGGTCACAACCGAAGGGGCCACAACCATTGCAGGCGCAGCAGGGATTACAGCACGGACCAATGGGAAAGGGCGGCGGGACGCAGGGAACAAAGGGCGGAATTGTGGGCGGGTCAGGGGCGGAATAGCCACCGCCGCCGCCGCCGCCGCCCCACCAGCAGCAGCCTAAGTGGCTGGGATTCTCAATGGCAGGCGATTCTTCAAAGACATCAACAGCAACTTCGGTGTGGTCAACAGCAGCAGCAGCAGATGATGATGATGATGACGATGAATTTTCTTCTGACAATGAAATCGTTTCATTGACTGAGAGTTTGAACTCTAACTCTAGATTAGAACTAGTCGTAGAATTATCGGTATTATTTGCTGTTTCTGCTGCTGCTACTTCTTTTTCTTCTTCATTATCTGATTTTGTATTATTTGTTTGGGCTAAAGTGGCCGTCACCATAAGTAGCACAGCTAGTAGCAATAATAATGGGTTGAAAAGTGCCATTGTTCTTTTGTAATGCATCCTGATGCAAACAAAAGCACCTTTTATATCAAGTTGAAGGGATGATCTCTTTGGAGATTAGCAGCATTCAGATCAGCATGCTCTGATTTAAATCATGCACTGACTTACCTACTTGTCTGCCTAGTTGACAATTTGATTAAATCAACTGAAGGTTACAAGTGATGTTTTTACATTTCTATTCCAACTGCTCCATTTAACTTATTTATTATTTATACATTTTATTGTGCAAAAATCGTAACTTTTTAATCGTAATCTTCATTAATGACAATAGTGTCCGAATCGTCACAGTCACAGTCGCAAAGACCGCAAGGACCGCAAGGTCCACAGGGACCACAGGGGCCACAGGGGCCACAGGGGCCACAAGGACCACAAGGACCACAAGGGTTAGAGGGATTACAGCACGGACCAATGGGAAAGGGCGGACAGACGGAGGGAACAAAGGGCGGCGGTGTGGGCTTAGGGGGAGGACAGTACCCACCACCACCGCCGCCACATCCTCCCCAACAGCAACAGCAGCCCAATTTGGGGGGCTGATCGACAGCAGATGATGATGATGATGATGAATTCCTTTCTGACAGTGCTGTTTCATTAACTGAAGTTGCATTGATCTGCAACTGCAGAACATTCAGGTAAGAAGTGTCAGTTTCATTTGCTGATGCTGCTGCTATTGTTTCTTTTTCTTCTTCCTCATTTGATTTTGTGTCATTTGTTTGGGCGTAAGTGGTTGTAGCCACAAGTAGGACAGCTAGTAGCAATATCAGGTTGAAAAAAGCCATCCTGTTTGCTGCTTGTGTTGGTCGCAGTTTGGTTTAGACAAATAAATTCTTTTATACCAAAGTGGATTGATACTGTTTGATTCGGAGAGATTTGCATGCAGATCAGCATGCAAATCAAAGCCAAACACTACCTGTCTAGGCAATTGGATTAAATTTTACTGAAGGCTGTTCCAATCAGCTTCGAGCAGTGTAAATACTCCAAGGTTTTATCAATAGTTTGAGCAGATTTTAATTCAAATTACCTGCCTCTACTTGAAAAATCCCCTCCAACCTAATCTCCAATTTAACCTTGGCCAAGCAAACACTTTTTAGCAGCAAAATCCCACCAGCAAAAACTGATCATCGTAATTTAAAGAAATTTAATAGAGTTCTAGAGTACAACAACAGCAACAAATCTAGTAAATCCAATCATTACGGATACTGATCACTCTCAACACTATCCCACTGTTCGCTGCTGTCTGACCGCAGATTCTGCTTGGGCTGCTTCGGTTTCTGCTTTCTCTTCTCCTTCCTTCCACCTCGCTGATTCTTATTCTTATTCTTGCCCAGCTCTTCGCAGACATCTGTCGACGGTGGCTTACAGGTGGTCGGCTCCGGAGGCGGTGGTGTTGGGGACGGTTGGGGACAGGGACAGGGACAGGGCTGAGGACAGGGGCAGGGACAGGGATTGCAGGGACAGGGGTTGCAAGGACAGGGGCAAGGATTGCAGGGGCAGGGGCAGGGATTGCACGGGGGCGGAACGATGCAGGGGCAGGGCGTGCACGGACAGGGCCAATTGATTTCATGGGGACAGGGGGGTGGGGCGCAGGGACAGGGACAACAGGGATTGCAGGGACATGGGGGAGGACAAGGAGGAGGAGGAGGAGGAGGAGGAGGAGGACAGGGTGGAGGACATGGACAAGGATTGCAGGGACAGGGGTCACAGGAGCAGGGGTCGCAAGGGCAGGGGTCACCACAGCCACAACCACAACCACAGGAATCATCGGAATCGAAGATGCTGCCCAGCTCTTTCTTCTTCTCGCCTCCTTGCTCCAGTTCGGTGGAGGCGTTCTGCTGGCTGCTGCTGCTGCTGCCCGCCCATGGCCTCAGTGGGCCATAATCCTGATCAGCTTCTAAAAGATCCTTGTTTCCCAGCAGCAAATCAGTGGCCACCTGGTCGGCGTCAAAGTCGATTGACTTTCGGGTGGCTGCCACTGCGGCGGAAGTTTGCCGTTTGNCAGGGACAGCAGGGACAAGGGGGAGGACATGGAGGAGGAGGAGGAGGAGGACAGGGAGGAGGACAGGGACAGGGATTGCAGGGACAAGGGTCACAGGGACAGGGGTCGCAAGGGCAAGGGTCACCACAACCACAACCACAACCACAGGAGTCATCGGAATCAAAGATGCTGCCCAGCTCTTTCTTCTTCTCGCCTCCTTGCTCCAGTTCGGTGGAGGCGTTCTGACTGCTGCTGCTGCCCGCCCATGGCCTCAGTGGGCCATAATCCTGATCAGCTTCTAAAAGATCCTTGTTTCCCAGCAGCAAATCAGTGGCCACCTGGTCGGCGTCAAAGTCGATTGACTTTCGGGTGGCTGCCACTGCGGCGGAAGTTTGCCGTTTGTCATCGCTCAAGAAGAAGATCAGTGAGGACAACAGCAGTAAAAAGTACTTAAAGACGATCATCTCGGATTGTTTGAAACCTTTTCGTCTTGATTTTAATCGCATCAAACAAAAAGTCAATGAATAGTCCCCAAAAGCAAAGAGGTAACAACTATCTTTTTATATGCGCAGTTTAGATCTGGTGTGTGTGCAATTCAGGTCATCAGGAGCCGGCAGAAAATGCATTGAGCGCAAGGGCAAATGCATTAGCTGCCCCATTCCCACAGCTTCAAACACACACAGTATCCTTCCACTGCAATCTATTAATCCCAATTAATCCTCCTCCATTGGCCAACAACAGCACCAGCAGCAGAAGTAATAGATTTTAAATCATCTCTACTACAACAAAACTTTTCTTTACATTTAAAAACAAACAGTTTCAATGTTTGGCCTCAGTTTATGTTATTAGATTCAGCGTTAAACCAGATTGATCCGTGCTAGTGTTGGTAGCGTTGTGTGTGTCTTTTTGTGAAAGATTACCTAACAGTGATGGTGGCTTCCCACCTAGTAAGGGATAATAAAAAGGACTGCTGAACATAGTGTACAGAAGAATTAAAAACAAAGTTTCCAGAGTGCGAGTCGAGAGGGAGATAATAAAAAGTGTGTGTCCGTGTGTGCAGTTTGAGCGTATGCAAAGTGGTAAGCACACAGGTGGTGGTGGTTATCAGATGGGAAGAAAAGAGGGGAGAAAAAACCTACAGCAAACTTCAGTCAACCAAGTTAGAGCAAGAGTTTCGACGCAGAGATTTGTACAGAGAGATTTGTACCACCACCTAAAGCGGATAGTGAGGGCGCTGCTGCTTGGCGTCGCCCACCGCCGCCTTCTGCCCCGCCTCCTCCTCCTCGGGCTTGTACTCCAGTCGGCGCTTCTTGGGCATGCCGTTGAGGTAGGCGTCGCTGAAGACGGGCGCACCTTCAGCCTGCTGGGGCTGAACAGCAGCAGCAGCAGCAGCAGCAGTTTCCACCGAGCTGCGCTGGCGCTGAATGTCCGCCTCAATGACGGGAATCTACGCCCCCATCCCAAACAAACCATTAAACTCCGGAAACTCCTAAATTCTAAAAAACCGCCACTTACCCATTCATTAGGCAGAACCGACTGCCAGTTCGGGGGCACGTCACTTGCGGTTCCGGTGGCTCCGGTGCCAGTGGTTGCGGCAGCAGTAGCACTAGCTACAGAAGCCACCGGAGTTGGCAGCGGCTTCGCTGGAGCAGATGTAGAAGCAGTGTTGGCAGCTGAAGAAGTAGCAGTGGGAAAGTCGCTGACAGCGTCGGCAAACTCGCCCTCCGAGTCGCTGTAGAGGGCGTCAATCGCCTCGTCCCTCGGCGGCTTCACCTCCTTCTTCGCCGGCGGCGGCGGAGGCGGCGGTGCCGACGGGCTGGTCTCCATCTTCTCATCCTCTTCATTCTTCGGTTGCGACTGTCCAGCAACGGCGGGAGCTGAAGCACTAGCAGCAGCAGTGGTCGTCGTTGCCTGCGAAGAAGCCGACTGTCCGAAAGGACCCTCCGAGGAGCGCAGAAACTCCGCCGTCTCTCGTAGGACCGCCTCGGCGGCGGCAAATGAGCTCGCCCGCGCCTCCTCAAACTGTCGACTGATCTCCTCTTCGTTCCATTCGGTGTTGTCCTCCTCCTCCTCCGCCTCATCGTCACCGCCGGCGCCGTCGTCCATCAGGTCCTCATCGTGCATACGCTCGTCCGCCAGTCCGCCGATGATGTTGCTGGCGGAGCGCACCTCGGGGATGGTGTAGGCGGAGTTGCTGTTATTAGGAGGAAAAGTAATTAGTAAAAACTCTAAAACATAAGATAAAAATGGCATACCATCCAAGAAAGGGATCAAATGTGAGCCCCAGCGACAGCTGATCCAAGTTCAGGTTGTGGTGGTGGTGGTGATGGTGGTCATGGTCGTGGTCGTGCTGGTTCTGGTCCTGGGCGGCGGCGGCGGTCGGAGCGGCGGGGG